CACACACACACACACACACACACACACACACTGACAAGGTCGTTTTTGTCGTCTGTTACAGCGCTGTAGCGCTGCATTGGCAAAACCCCGGCAGACATGCAGACACACAAACGCACCATGGGTCGTTACAGTATGTGTTTTTGCTTTCGCATAAATGCGCAACAAGGCGTATGAGCTCCAGTCACCTAATTAATTTTCACCGCTTTTGTCAAGATTTTTGGTGCCATGCTTTTCAGGAGAGGACATATCTGAGCTGAAGACAACTTTTATCCGTCATATGTCATTTCTTTTCCTTTTGTGCCTTTTTTCTGTACACATTTCGGCTAATTCGCTAGGTGATGAATAAAAGTCACTAAAAGCTTGCGTTGGGCAATTGAGAAACTTCCAATATACCTGCGTCTCGAGGTCTTTTCGGTTTCCTTCCTCTTTTTGCAACGAATTTTCCAAAACTTTGATTTTTTCGTTCAATTTTTCTATTTCTTCTGCTTCTTTTCCAGCTTTAAGCATAGGTTTCACTCGGCCGTACAGTTTGAACCATTCCCAGGTACGTAGTGTACACCAAGATCGAATATTGCGCTGGATTAGCATCAGGCCTGTAGCATAGTGAGTTGATCAGAAGCACCAAGTGAAACTTAGACGTATCGCTACTATGCACTATTTCGGATTTGAAGGGCAATTCATCGTTAACAGTTGAAGGTTGCACTGCGAAATTTTAATAAACCAAATGCCAATAATTTGTTTCTCTTATTGTAATTTCTAAGAAGTAACAGAAAGGTACCAACCGGACTTTTGTTGTATACGACGTCTTCTGTCGGCTAACCCCAAAAAGGCGCGGATTCGAGCCTGGAAGTTGGTCATCACAACACGAAGTGCCTCATCGCGCATATCTTCAAGACGAGCCAATATGCCAGCTTTGAAGAAAATTTTCGTTCCACCTAGCCTGAATTCTTCGTCGTTCAAATTTCCTGAGTTGCACAGAAAGTCAGTGATGCCAAGCGAGGCTTTCTTCTCATCGGAATCTTTTGCTGCGTCGGCCGCAAGAATTGCGTATCGATGTTTGAAATCACCATAAAGCATTCGATTCGGATATCCTTTCCGGCAGATTCGAATACCTTCCAGCACACCGTTGCATGTCAGTTGATTCAGTACCAAAGCGGAATCAATCACTCCTAAGATTTATTGCGTGTTATCATGCTGTTGCTTAAGACATTTCTACGCCTTTATAGAAATTTGTTTTTGCACAAATTTTACGACGCTAAAGGTCTTGTTGTTGCACTTGTTGTTGAACTAAAATGCGACAAGACTGACTTGATGAAAAAACTACAAAACTTTCGATTGGCAGTTCAAAAGAAGTCACGTACCGCTAGCTTTCTTTTCATTTGGAATGATGCAACGGATGAAGTGTGGATGCGTTTGGTAAAGCATATTCATCAAGTTCGTCAGGGACTCGCGGTAAATCATGGACACTGTCATGAATGAGGCTGATTTGCCCTTTTTACGTCCTCCTTCTGCAATTTTTAATTATGCATTGAAACGTAGCCAATGAACAATATGAAGCCAGTGAATTTCCTACAGTATGATGCGGATTGGTTCTCTGCCATTCATTTCTCCTGCAAGACTTGAATACTGGAAGCCTTATTGTGGCATGAAAGTAATTACATTTCGGAGCTAGTGCGCAATGGAATTACTACCTATTCAGCTTTTAGCAGGCTATCTTTGTGGACAGTGGACAGTTATAAGTTAAAAGGAGATTTTTTAACTGAAATGACCGCAAATATTGAAGAGAGGTCACATTCTCGGCTCAGGCAGCCATAAAAAAATAATGTATGCTTAACAAAGTGATCAAATCTGAGAGTTCCGTGTAGAGAATCCAAGTATTCCTGTTGGACATTTATAAATTCTTTGTCTGTATTATAAGCGGTAAGGATTGTTTAAAAAAAAGTGCTAATTGCTCATAAACGCTCCAGCTTACACACCAATGCCAGCTTTAGCTGCTTCAGCTGCTTCTTCCTGAGTTTGATAATCTGTCCATATATCCAGTAATAACTGATTGCCCTTGCAGTGTTTGAGGACAGCAACCGCAGAATCGTTTAGTGGATCCTTATTCTTTTCCAGGAAGTTTGTTGCGTTGTACCGCACCTTCAACATTTTCTAATGTCGTCTGTCAAAATTCGAATTTTGTCCATATAAGGACTGCTCTAGTATGAAAAGAAGTAGAAGCCATTTTTATGCGTTTTTGCCTATATGCAAATTGCAAAAACGCATATTGGGACGACCCTGTCTG